TATGATCTGTCAAATTTGTAGTTTTCTTTATTGGTTTTGAGTGTTTATCTTAAAACTCAAATTTCTTGGTTCTTTGCTCTGTGTAAATCGAACACATTTGTGGAGTCGTTTAAATATGTTGGATTTTAAATATATTGGATTTTAAACTGTCATACAATTAGTCTTTACACAATAGTTGTGTACCTGCGCAATGCGGCGGGAGCCATGAATTTTAACGATTTTGAAGTTTCACTGGTTTTATAAGATAAGATTTAACGATGGTATATGTTATACTTAGTCTTTACATATTAATACAGTTTGAATAAATAAGAGTTATGGTTCCAATTACAGACTATCGATGAAAAAAATTGTATGACAGTAATACAATCATGATTGATCCAATGATGAATATTCCTTTTAACCCTTCTCACAATAATTTTTATTATCACCGAAACTCAACTCTTACGTAATAAAATGTTTTATCCAATTCATTTATCATAAAATAAAATAAAAATATTTTATATAATTTAATTCATTAATAATCATTTTAGAAAAATAGGGTTTTTACATAGAGAAGAAAAAGTACAGAAGGGGATGATCGATTTGGAGATCGCCAAACTGTAATTTTAAAACTGGAGGGACAAAAATGTTACTTTCAAGAAATTACATGGACCAAATTTGTATTTTACTATTTGATATATAATAAAGAAAACAACTAAAATACCTCCAATTTAATTGAACTTAACAAAAAAAAGTTACTGACCATTAGATAACAATAAATTACAAACTAATAAAAATAAAAATACTGATTTCTAAACCATAGGGGAGAAAATAGAAATTATTAAGGGTGTGCAGAAAGTCAACCGATTCAATTAAAACCAAACAATACAATTAGAACCGACTGATAGTACTGACAACAGATAGGGTATGAGTAAGGTAAGGGTTATTCCGTTACCTTATCCATTTAAAATAGCTCGTAACAGGTAAATTATCCATCTCATAAAATTTTATCAATATCCACACACTACCCATTAAAATAGCGAGTAACAAAACGGGTAACAGATAAATGGTAAAAACGATTAATTAATTTGTTTCATTGTTAGAAAAAGATTAAATTAACACATTAAAATAGATTGGATTCAATCTGGTCATGATGTTGGTTGGATCTAATCTGATCAAATGGATATCCAGTAAGAATTTTCATCGGATATCAAATCTGATCTGATGGATATCCAATGGATGAAACCGAACGGATCCAATCATCCGTTGGATTATACTGGATCAGTTGTCCGATATTAATCGGTTTAGATCTATTAACAAAATACAACATCAAATGGATAATTGGATCAAACATCCGATAGATATCAATCAAGGGCAAAATCGTAATTTACTCTAAAAAATATTATAATAAACGGTTCATTTTCTGCATGCCTTTCCCGCCTGTATTTTAGGAACAAAAATCTCCCCACCATAAACCTCTATCACCCTATTTCCTTCCCGTTCTTCCGCCCCCACCATCTCCCACCGCCTCCCACCACCGTCGATTCCCAAAATGACGAAACCTCCGACGACGATGTTCACCGTCTTCCTCATCCTACTCTCACTTCTCACCTCTCCATCCATGGCGGAAATTAAATCGTTAAAGATACAATCAGATTATCGTCCAATGATCCTCTTCGAGAAATTCGGATTCACACGCACCGGTGTCGCCTCCGTCGCCATTTCATCCGTCTCCGTCACCTCCGCCCTCTCAGAAATCGATCCCTCCCACCTCGGTTTCTTCCTCCTCACCGAAGAATCCTTAATTCAAGTCCTCATCGAATACCAGCAAAACCCTAATTTCTGCGTCGTCGATTCCAAATTCATTTCGTTACTCTTCACATTCCGCGAGCTTTCCCCTCCACCTGATTCATCCTTCAACAAATCGTATCCGATCAAGTATCCCAATGAATACTCCCTCTTCTTCGCCAATTGCAACCCTGATTCGCTCGTCACCATGGATGTCAGAACCGAGCTTTACAACACCGATGGCAACAAAAGAGATTACTTATCCGCTGGATTAAGTCAGCTTCCGTTTCTCTACTTCATCTTCTCCCTCTCCTATTTGTGTTTTCTAGGGTTTTGGATCGTCGAATGCGTCAAACACAAGCTATCTGTTCATCGAATTCATCTATTAATGGGGGTTTTACTCGTCATGAAAGCCCTAAATCTGATATGTGCAGCAGAGGATAAACATTATGTGAAGGTTACAGGTACTCCCCATGGATGGGACGTGTTGTTTTACATCTTTCAATTCATTAGGGTTGTCCTTTTGTTCACTGTGATCATATTAATCGGCACTGGATGGTCATTTCTGAAACCATTTCTGCAAGAAAAAGAGAAGAAGATTTTGATAATTGTGATCCCACTTCAGGTTTTGGCCAACATAGCTTCCATTGTCATCGGCGAAACCGGCCCGTTTATCAAAGATTGGGTAACTTGGAATCAAGTGTTCTTGTTAGTCGATATCATCTGTTGTTGTGCGATTATCTTCCCGATCATATGGTCGATTAGGTCATTGAGGGAGACCTCCAAGACCGACGGGAAGGCCGCTAGAACCTTGGCGAAATTGACCCTTTTTCGACAGTTCTATGTTCTGGTAATCGGGTATTTGTATTTCACAAGAATCATTGTTTTCGCTCTGAAGACAATTGCGGCTTATAACTACCAATGGGTGGCAAACGCAGCGGAGGAATTAGCGAGTGTCGTGTTCTATATGGTGATGTTTTATATGTTTAGGCCGATGGAGACGAACGAGTACTTCATTATTGATGATCAAGAAGAGGCTGCTGCAGAGGTGGCTCTTAAGGAGGAGTTTGAACTTTGATCAGCTTCAAGATTCAGGTTTCTTTTTGTTTTTGATGTTCATATTACTTGATTTCTAGATGATGATTATACCTCCATTGATACAAAGATTACAAGTAGGTTTTGTTTAACAAATTAACTTCAATTTTTGATGTAAAAACTATATCATACATGTGACTAATGATGATGCAAAGCTTTTGAAAACTTGTTATCAAAATCATCTCTTTTTGTGGTTTCCGTGCCATTGTTTCGTTTTCGTTTCAAAATATATATGGTGACATATAACGACAAATTGATACGATGACACTATTCCTATGACCCATCTATTTGCAAAACTTTTTTTTGCTGACTTGAGATTGAATCTCGTTAGCATCATTTTTTTTTGTTTTTAGCTTTTAATTTTAAATTTATTATGTTTTTGAAAAAAATTGCAATATAAAACTTGAACACAAAATTATTATATTAACAAATAATTTAGATTTTTTAATTAATTTAATATATTTATTTTATAACGTATAAAGTTAATATTTTTGAAAAGTCACATTAGCAATTAACCAGTAAAACAGTCAGCAAAAACCATAAAGGTGGTGCCTAATTGGTTTGAGCTTAGGCTCCAAAGGTCAAAAAATGTTTGGAAGTTCCGGGTTCAAATCCAAGGAATAGAAATCTCCTTGTGACCACGGAGATTAAAATGCGGTAACTCCGGATTATCCGCAAAGCAGATGGTCGTCTTAAGATTAGTCAGCTCGTATAGCAAGTTGAATATCCAGGTTAATTGGAGGAAAAAAACAGCCAGCAAAAACGCTATGTCACAAAGAATGCCAAATATAGCATGTACTGTTTCACCTCCGACAAAACTTTGTGAAAAGAGGTTTTTCAGGGGGGATTTTTACAAGGTTGGAGAGGTTTTCTATTTTACGGTCAGAAGGCTCGTAGTTTATTGTTTTTGAAGGTCGGTGTGCATTGTAGTCTAAGTAAGGCCCGATGAAGATCGGTTGATTGATTTCAACTTCCAAAATTTTTGACTGGTTCGACCCAAACGGTTGCATGACCGGCCCGGTTTTGGTTGACTATAACCGGTTACATGGGCCCGATGAAGATGGTCCATGACAAGTTAGCAAGTCAAAGGGCCACTTACCTTTGGCACTTTCGACACTTGCACCAAGTCCTGGATCTTCATAAACTCCTATCGGACATCATATTTTTTGAAACGTTTAAGGTTGTCATGTCCAACCTACTCCTCCTACGTCTTCCTCGACATGCCCCTCCTCAGTCCCAACCCCCGCACAATTCCAATATTGTTTATACACATAAGTCGATTGCCTGCGTTTATAATAACCTTTGTCGTAGAAAACATTGAAAGAAACCCTAACACTACAACACATGCAATTGAAGATACACTCATCCCCCCCATCACTCTAACATTTGGGTAATCGTCTTTTTAACATATAACACTCTTGTAAAGTCCCTAAACAAAGTTGGGCAAGAGACCAAGTTGTTGTGCAAAACCTTTTGTGTCGTACTTGAGAATCTGTGAGAACTGGAAGCCAAAAGAGTTGTGTTATAAAACAAGTCGGAGAGTTGAAACGGAGTGATGAATTTCTCCATCTCATAGCTAAGAGTCAAATTGGAAAACAGACACTTAGGGGGCCGTTCACCTAAATGCTTACCCGATATGGGCTTACCAGCAAAATTCAACATTGTCATTTACCTTACTAGATAAGATTCTAGTCCATCAAAACAACATCGTATGCAACAATTTACCCTATAAGCGTTAAGCGGGTAAGAGTCGTCACACTCACTTACTAGGTAAGACTCTCGGTTCTTGTCAACGCTTGTACCAAGCTTGGTCCTTGACATGTTAATCCATTATTACCTATAAATGGCCCCTTACTTTTGAATATGGACATTAATTTTGGCATAAACTAAAATAAAAATGTAAACACTTACTTTAGAACAAAGAAGAGAGTATTACGAAGTATTGATGGTACTGATTTGTGAACATTTTAGCAGACAATTAAAGTGAAAAAAGACGACAAAAGAAAAAGTCACTGAAATACAAACCTTTAGTCGAAGTTATCAACTTTGATGGGAACGATATCATCAGCCACCTTAAAGCGTCCCACCAATCGTGCGAAAAACACCATTTGTTGTTCAAGTGTGAACTTGATGTTTTCAGCCTGCATATCATATCAGAAACTAAACTTGTGCAGTTCTTTCACCAGAAAGATTAAAGATCGAAAACACAAACACATTACTTATTTCTAACCTTACGAAAACCATGCTGCTCGCCTTCATACTCCACCAAAGCAACCGGCAATCCTTTTGCTTTCAAGGCTTGATATATCTTTCTTGCTTGATCAGGAGGTACAACCTTGCAACACAACAGGCAAGAGATTATATAAATATATGTGTAGGGTCAGAGTCAGGTTCAGGGGAAAACCGCAAAAAAATGAAAAATTGAAGAACACCCCGGTAACCCACGGTATGCACATGTGCATACAAGTGACTTGTAGGCAATTTGTCCGGTATGCACGTGTGCATGAAAAAGCTTCAGTTACTTGTATGCACGTGTACATACGTCCAAATGAATGATTACCAGGGTGTTCCTTAGTTTTTCATTTTTTTAGGGGTTTCCCTAAACCTCTCTCTATATGTGTATACACACACACACACAAAAACACAAAATCCTCAATGATCATTTGAAAAGGTTTGTTACTTGGGGACACAAACTGCTAGTTGTTTTCTCCCTGAACTCCCACATAAAAGTACTCATGAAATAGTCACTCGGTCCCAAATGCAACAGTTTCTTTGCGGGGACTGCCCAAAATCACTTTTTCCCCTTCTTGCAAATTTTGAATCCAAATCACCTTTACCATTAGGGTGTGTTTGCTATGTGGCAGAACAGAACGGAACTCATTGTCCCGCATTTGGTGCAACATTTATACCGACACAGAACAAGGCCTGGGGAGATGGGACAAGATTGGTGGTAAATTACTAAACTAAAAATGTCAAATTAAAACCCTAAAACCTTGCACAATTCTTTCACCCGTCTGCCTCACTCACGCCCAACCCCGTCCAGTCTAGTTCTGTACAGTCCCGTTTGCGTACCAAACAAGCCCCTTAAACCCTAAGGGGCCCTTTACGGTTTTACTGAACGCTTACTGGGTAAAGCGCTTACCAGCAAGAGTCACCACCCTCCCTTACCGTATTCGGTAACATTCTCGGTCATCAAAATGGATTGTCCGGTAAGCACTTTACAAGGTAAGTGTTTGGTAAATGGCCCCTAAGTAACCTAACCAAATGACACGAACCCAGTATATACCTCATACTCGTAGGGCCTGGGGGGAAAATGTATCAAATTTTGACTCTACCCCGATGGTAGAGAGGCTATTTCTTTGACCCTTTTCCCCTTTAGCAAATTTTCAATCCAAATTTACCTTTATCCATTAAACTAAGTGACAAGACGATTGCTACAGTTCTTTATGAAGAGGAGATTAATAGATAGGCAAGAGGAATAACAAATTAAACATGGAAAGCACTAGTAAAGCACGAAACATGAAATTTATATTTGGAAAAATTCAACAAAATATTGCTTGTAAGCCACTTGAACCAAGATCAGAGTTGAAACATGAAAACACTCTATCTAATCTCTGTGAATTAAGGTGAAAGGCAAAACATCTGAGAGAAGCACCCATAAAGCATGAAACATGATGGCCGTGGGACCAGTACAATTTCCAAAGCTAGAAGTTTCACCATAGACCAAATAGGCTCATGGTTGAATGAAATATGCAAACCCATGATTGCCATGGGACCAGTACAGTGGGTCACTGCAGAGGGAGGTGTCATATGCTTTTTGCAGAAGAATAGGAAGTATTGTTTCGTTATCGACTTAATGACAATAGGAAAAGCCAAAGCATCTCACATTATTTGAGATGAGAATCTAAGGGGTTCGCATATCGCACAAGTAAATGATAGATGGGGATAATAAAACTGTAAACACAAATTTTAATTTTTGCTACTTTGGATGCAGGTTTAGAACAACCCTTCATTTTTGCTAAGAAGTTCTTTTTACCCCTTTGCAGACAATTACAGCAAATTTTTCCAAAAAGTGAACAATATAAATCAGAAAAGCTTCCAATACCTTGTCTTCCAGTCCTTGGAAGAGGATAATGGGGCAAGAAAATTGATCAACAAAATTGATAGGCGATCTCTCAAAGAATTCCTTTTCACCTCCTGTTGCAAAGTTAATATCTGATGAGCTGATAATTCATGTACACATAGCCTTCCCTAAGCTTAGAGACCAAGGAGTCTATTGTGATGTAGGAGTGAAAAGAAACATAATTAACAATTACCAACAAGATTATCCATATATCGGGACTCAAATTTGTGAGTTTCTTCTTTTAACAACTTCAGATCAGCTACCTGAGGATAATTACAATATGGACCTGTTAATGTAAGATTTTGTTGGAGATGCCATGATTTATGAACAAATATCAACATTAACTACATTACCGGTTACCGACAAATATATCCATCTCAATATTATTGAAACAATTTCCTCTAGGGATCTCTGATAAAGTGGTAATAAATCACACATCTCCCTTTTTCGCGAACTTTGAATCCAAAATTATCTTTTTGCCAATTAGTAATCATTAGTTTATTAAAAATGTTGATCACATTGTGGGGTATTTTAGATATTTCACAAGTAGCCAAAACATTTGCACTAAAACATGTGATAGGTAAAATGGCGCATTTATTTGGAACCGAGACAGTACATAATAAAAAGAGTAAACTTCACTTTTGATCCTTGACGTTTGTCAATTTCAACAGATATCGTCCCTAAACTTCGAAAACTCAGATTCCATCCCTCACGTTTGTCATTTCATAACTGGTTTTTGGTCCCTCCTCTTAACAGCTGTTTATTTTTTCCGTTTAAGTCCAATCAAATGAGGGGTATTTTAGTCATTTTAAACATTTTTCTGATGACTAAAATAACCCTCATTTCACCGGGTGGTGATGGACTTAGAAGAAAAATAACTAAAATACCCCTCATTTAATTGGACTTAACGAAAATGTTAACGGCCGTTAGGAGGATGGACAAAACCGTTATGAAATGACAAACAAGAGGGATCAAATCCGAGTTTTTGAAGTTTATGGACGATATCCGTTGAAATTCACAAACGTTAGGGACCAAAAGTGAAGTTTATTCTACTAACAATTTTCACCATGAAGTCGGATTATAACTGAATGAGCACTTACACCATACAAAGAAGCTCCAGCCTTGAATGTTTTCTTAAATGCAAGTGCGGCCAGCGTTGTGTAACCACCGGCAGAGCCTCCAGTGATACAGAGTCTTTCCCCATCTGCCTTTCCGCTATCCACCTGTACCAGAAAGATAAAAAACGGATATCAGCATCACTTGCAAAAAGGAAAATAAATCTATTCCATTGGTGAGTATGCAAGGGATCATATTTGTGGTGAAGTACCAAGAACTGAGCACAACTGCAACAATCATCGACATCAACAATACCCCATCGCTTCAAAAGCCTTTCACGGAATGCTCGACCATAACCTTCAAAAACATTATATAAAAGTTAACCAACATTTTGAGGAGCTGTTACAACCATCTCGGAGACCCACATGTAACAGCCCCAAACAAATACTATGGATGGAATTAGGTAAATTTAAAATAAACAAATATATATATATATATATATATACATAGAGAGATAGAGAGATAGACGAAGGATCGTGTGAGAATAGGAGATAAGTTGAGAAGTGTAAGAAGAGATTTAGACCCTTGATCACTTTTAATCTCAAACCAACCCATGAATTTGTGCTTTAAAAGGGAATTGATCTGGTGCTTCTCATTAGTGTTGATCTAGTGGAACTCTTCAATTACGATTGATCCAAAGGTGGGGATCCCTTCTCACCATAACTCTCATTCTCACGGGAACCAAACCCTACAGAGATATTAATACATATGTTGCTAAAATTAATGACATACCAGTACTTCCACCATAATTCACATCCACAAAAGCCCAGCCACGACTAGTCCAAAACTGGACATTAAGATTTAGAATTCCACGTGCCTCAGCAGTAGGTCCTCCTGTTCCACAAAATGTGAAAAATTCAGCATCAGCTTTGAAAGCTTGGGAGAAGCCTTGTACAACAAATATCAAGCAAATTTGTGCTCCTATTTTCAACATATACACTCTGCGTATATGTGTACACGGGTGTGTATCATCATAGATATGGGGGTTTCTGGGTAAAACAGTGGTTCCAAAACATAGTTCATTTTATCAGATTCCCACGATTTATATTTCCAGCATCTATATATGCATATATAGATTGTACATGTACGTGCACATGTATTGGAGGGAAAATAACCTCACAAAAGAGGGAGGTACAAGTACACTAATAAGTAGTAACTTCGAAAAAAACACAAGTTGTTGGCATTTTCTATAAGTAGAGGCTTTCGGTATGTCGCATGTTAGTTGTATATGCTGATGATGTGTTTGTAGCCACTGATAAAGTATTAAGGGAGATAGTGCTGAAGAGTATCTGGAGAAACATACCTCTGATATAGGAAGAGTTTGTTCAGAAAGAAGCTACTTGATTACTAATAAGTAACTAAAACGTGAAGCTCGCAAAAAACCCCTCAAAAAGGGAAAATGGGATGAAAGAAAATTTGATTCATCTCCACTCACAAAAATAAGCACACTTTTGAGATTGAGAAGCGTTTTCAAGAAAATTTGATTCTAAAAATGCATGCATGCACTTGATGAATAACACTTGCAAGTTTGACTTTGTCCATCTTATAAAACGAAAACAGATATGATTACCATGACTCTTCAACAGCAATGGAGGTTTTTCATCTTGGCTGCCTTGATAAATGGGATTTGTTGGTGGATAATAGTATGCATATGCCTTCTCGCCGGGAACTTCTGTTGGAAACTCAATAAATTCTGGAGAGCTAAAGTAAGACTTGTATTCTGAACTAGTAGGTGAAGAAGACCAAACAATCTGAAAATCAACTACACTGGTTGCCCAATCATCTAAAGTCACCTGCCCCACACACAATGACACAATTGCGCCAATTGGAATTAGTATAAATCAATTCAGGATAGATTTTGAATAGTGATTCAATTATACAAACCTATAATAAACAAAGAATTGTTCTTAAATTTTAGACCGTTGTGTGTGTATGATTATGAACTTTGCACTTTGGACCTATGTAGCCCACAAACTTCAAGGTGACAAGAAGAAATTGTTTACAATTACATATGACGAAAGTAGGAGTAGCACCTTAGCTATTGACAACGGATCAACTCCAGATGCCCCTTCAACATACAGGCAGTGTACACCTGAAGTCTACATAAGACATATCATGATTAATAATGACAAAAATAGAAAATCCACTGAGAAGCCAATCAGAAAAAAGAACAACCATCGAGAACAAGGTGTATTGAGATTACAATATTCATTAAATCTGTGAAAGGACTCTGAAGAACGGATAATGTGCTCTTCTCCTTATCCAGAACTCCAAGATATGACCTTCCTTTCTGCCTGCACATCATCCAATATTCAATTAAATGAAAGGGAATGAAAACAATGAGTGATACAAAAGCAATTAAGCAGCACGAAACCTGTAACTGCAAGCAATCAAGTTCTTCTGTTCCTTGATCAGCTCATAAGAGTTCATGCCAAAAACCCACAACGGTCTTGCAAACTCGGCCTCTAACGAATACACTGAAGCCACCGTGTTATCAGATTCAACCTGTTAGAAGACAACAAAATCACTCCAGATGATCTCACTTCAAGGGGCAGGGGGGAGAGTGTAAATAGAAAATGATCAGGCAAGAAAACATTTTGTCTCATACAAACAGGTAAAATAATGATAAAAAGTTGAAACATAATATGAAATTTTATTATCTTCAATTTTACAAATTTAAGCAGTTCAAAATTTCCTTAAATTACGAGAATATGAAATGATACCAAATAAACATTCTAATCGATTTTAGTGGGCATGGTATGGGACAGGAACTTTAAACATAACTTGCTTCATCTGAACCCTAGGGTGCGTTTGGTTTGCAGGAATGTTTATGAGGGATTTGGATTTTCAGGAGGGATTTGGATTTGGAGGGATTTGGATTGGATTGGATTTAAAATCCATTCCTGTGTTTGGTTTGCAGGATTTGGAAGGGAGCACCGGCGAGGAGGACCGATTAGGGCTGAAGCTTCGCGATGGACGGGAAGGGAGCACCGACGAGGAGGAGGGTGAGGGGACAGGGAGGGAAGCGAGGCGAAGGAAGCGAGAGGAAGCGATTATAGGAATCTCGTAGGATTGGATTTTAAATCCCACCCCTTTGCAAATGATTTCTAAATCCCATGTTCAAGGGATTTTAATGAAATCCCAGGATTTCATTAAAACACATGATTGGAATGGATTTTAAATCCAAATCCCCCCAAATCCATTCCATTCCTGCAAACGAAACGCACCCTAATAGTGATGGATGCTAAGAAACAGCATTGTCAGTACATAAAAAAATAAAATCCTTCCGAAATTACCCATTTGTGAAGATTCCAAAATCCACTTTTCCTATCGGTGACGAAGAATAATTCCCCTGCAGTAGAAGAGATGCTAATATGATTAAATAATGCAATATGTACCCACTTGGCATTGTGCTATGAGATCAGAAAGTTGAAATTTATTGGGAACCCACTAACATCCATTTCTACCAAGTCAAAATTTTATCAATGAACATACATGTGTGTGTGTGTGTCAATATTCCAAGTAGCATGTTTCGCATAATAATATTCATCTGAGCATGACTGCATTGCATGTGTATACATGTGTATGCATAATCTTCTTGGGACCTTAAGCTTCACATCAAGGTAATACTTTCACAAGACTCAAAAAGTTGTTAAGCAATTCATGGAAGTCTTTACAACCATTTTTGACAAGTAAGATTGACCTTTCTAAACTAAATGCTAGATMTAACAATACAAGGGCAATGATCAGAAATGCCTCTAGGCAAAAATTCCGCTTCAGTAATAGCAAGGATATTGAGTTGCTAACTGCTTTAGGTTTGTATCATCCATATTTTCCCAATCATCAGCAGGACACGAGCAAAAACATAATTTCCGACTGCTAAGGTGATAATAGACATGAAAACCTCGACGGTAAAAGATCAACACGCTATAGAAGCAGGTGTCAACTACTCTACATTCTATTGAAGTGGCTGTGTGATTAGGTAGGTCATAGTAAATGAGTTTGACCGGAAGGAACTTCTTCACTGTTGTCCTAATAACACCAGTCAATGCCATCTGAGTCATCATCTGTTTCTTGCATACAACTTCCTTCTCTCTCATCTAATATGGTAGGACACATATCTAACATCTTTTCTCGAGATCTGGAAGTGTACATAGTATTATAACTTTCTATATTAAGTATGAACATATATAATAGCACGACACCTAGACTTGCTCCCCCTTAAAGTTACAAAGGTTGCATTATCGATCAAGGATATGTTTACCTTCATCGGACCACTTCGGTTCAGTTGGAGACTCTACTATTGTAGGATCAGCCCCCGCCACACATACACGTTTGTACACATCCCTGCATAACACCTTTGGTCAAAGTACACAATTTGCAGAATAGCATATGTGCTGTATATATATATATATATATATACCAATCTATCAAGACCATTGTTATATATTTTTATTCTATCAAGAAAAGTTGATGAGAAAAGCATTAAATTGCATTGCAACTCTAATGCCTGTAACAATTTTTAGCCTTGGTAACTCACATCCACAAGAGTCCGACAAAAAGCTTAGATGGTATGCCATTTTCCTTTCCCACTTTCAGTTAATTTGACTTCTCTTCATAAAGCATATATGAACCTTTTTCCACTGAAATGTCCCAGTTTCAGTTACTCAGTATACAAACATTCACAAAAACTACAAGTGGTTTGTGAACACAAGTTTTCTTTTAACCATTTACCAGCAATAAAGCTATATACAGAACTAAAGAAAAAAGTGCTAACATGAAAGCCAGAGACAAAATCGATAACCACTGGAAAAAGTTCAAGGGTAAACCATAACAAAATATATAACAAGTGACAAGCTCAGACTCCACCCTTTCAGCTCAATGCCTTGAAGAAATTATTTATTTCATTGTTTCCTAATTTGCTCTTATTCACACAAATGAAAAATAATCAGAAATGAGGAAAGATGAAAGAAGGCTGAGCAACACCATTTGAGATGGTTGGCTATCTCAAATTTAGCTGTTTGAAGGCATGTTCAAAAAAACAGTTTGTACCATGAGGTCATAGGAGAGGTAGATAGTGACCAAGATGACATGGGGGAGTGGCAAAAGAAGAATTGCATGAGGGCGTGTAGAAGGATGTGGTTCATGTCCTGAAATTCTAAAGGTTCGCCTCTTTATGTTTACTTCTGGGTTTCATGGCTTTATGGTTCATTTTGGTATCATCTTCCACCTACCAAAACTACTTTGGGATACAAGGCATATTGTTTTTTTTATATACCCATGTATTATTTTGGGATACCTCATGCAAGAGGAAAAGTTTCTAATAAGCAAATATGTTTTTCATGCATAAAATGAATTAAAAAAAAGTGCAAATACAATAAATGAGTACTTGTATAGGGAAAGAATGTTGGAGGTCAGCATGTATAGAGTACTTGTATTGATACTTCTATGACGAGTCCATGAGAAATAGAATAAACAACAATAGAGAACAGTCGACAAAAATAATAGCATGACAACTGCAATGTTAAGACATAAGAGGAACCAGACTTGATCAAAGCTCACACATACATTCAAAATATAATCTCATAAGGCTAATCCTGATCAGCTGGTTATGAAATATGAATCATTTAGAATAAGAGCATAAAGCACTATGTTTACCCGGTATCTGAAATATAGCCAACCCAGAGTTCAGATCTATCCCATGGCATGTTAGGGTGGCTCCATTCAATCCATGCCAACCTTTTCCCCTTGGGATCCAGCCTGGGGAATGCATAGAAATCATTTCCACTGACTAATACTTTTGGTTCTGCATGGCACCATATAAATGATAAAAATGGTTATTTATCATCAAAGTACAAAAACAAAAGCGTGATATGCATTGAGGGCAAAATTAAACGAGTGAAAAATACTCAATCCAAACACATAAACCACACACATTGAAAACTCATATCATATGTAACCATACCTTGAATAATGTTACCACTTAGTTCTATCGATACAATGCTTGTGATAGAATTCAAGCTACTTTCACGTCGATCTAACAAGAAACCACATGACAAAATTAGCTGCCGGTGATGACAAATGATTGACAAAAGTAAATAAGATAATAGCGGCACAACATCAGCAATGTACCTTCCCTAACAGTGATATACCGATTAAGTGATGTATCATAAACTCCATCCGCATAACTCACCACAGGTCCGTCATATTCAGGGGTAAGTGGAACAGGTGGATCTACAACCACAAAACAAGATTTTTGAAATTCTAAATTCTGGCAATTAAAAACCCTCAAAATTTGGTACTTAAATGTTTTGCACCAAATGTACGGCCCTTCACTCATTGATGAAGATAAGTCACCTTTTATTCTTTAAGAATATGTTTGGTGGTTGGCATAACAAACTTGAGGGCCTACTTTTCATCTTCAAAATCATCATGAACTCTTCAGCTGTATATTACGTAGTGCTAAAAACTACATTATGAACTTTTGTACACAAAATCCTTTAGTTGACCTCAACAGCAATTTTATTGGGACTCTAAAACCAAAGTACTCCTAAAAGAAGTCCACTCCACATTTTCCTTTCATTTCTTACGTTCTTCCAGCCAAAAAAGTAAACATATCATAACTCATAATGCAACAACGATATGTATATAACTATTAGTGTTTTTAGTGTCATCAAGCCATTAGGTGTACTTGAGATTTACAAGAGAATAATAGGTTTTGGTTAAGTTATAATAAGTGTTAGGATGTGCGGAGGTCAACTTGTATAAGCTGAGGTGAACCCCGGAAACGGGATGGTGGGTGAAGGGGGCTGCGCCCCCTTGCAGGGTCAGACACTGAAGTTATTGAGTTCAGCTTCAGTGTCTATGTTCACGGTTCACCTGAGCTTCAACGGAACTAATCAGACCAGTAGCAACGATCACAGTGCCTTCAGTGGCATTGAGCAGTAAGGAGATCTCATTCTGGTTTCTACATCCGAACAACACAAGATGTCTGCGATTTTGACCTAAAAACATGGTGTATGTTTTGGATTATCCCAAAGTAAATTTCGTGAAACCCTAGAACATTACTTTTCTAAAATGATTTCACAAGGATCCATAATACGATCCAAGTTTGATTTGATTGATTCATCATGATACCATAATCCATGTTTCTAACATTAATGTCTTAAGAGTTTTATCTAAACGCGATGTAGATAGTTATTAGATCAGACCTTTTGAATCTATCGACTGTTTGTAAAGCCTTTGATCTTTGTAATTCGAGAAAACTACACTGTCTCCATAAATTGAGAAAGCACCGCCACCATATTCTTGAGCGACTGTACGTACTGAGAACTCCACGGGAGTTACATCAATGGCTTCTTCTTTTGCATCAGTTCCCCCTCTAACTATAACCGATCGTCTAGAAAACCATAATCATAAACAAAATTACCATAATCAAGGCTGCATAGAAGAATTCAATCGTCATGTTACTAAAAAAACTATACACTGATAAACCTACCCGGCTTCTGTAGGGCGTGATTCGAGCCAGAAGAGACGGCCATGTGAATCAACGGCGGTGCCCCCGAGACCCTTGGCGGCTCCGGATACGACGTCCGAAGTGATGGAAGACGACCAGGAACCGTAGGGTGCGATGATCTTTTGCTCTGGTGGAGGTTTTGAAGAAGCCGCCATTGTTGTTATCAGCCTCCGAGATCGAGAACGAAGAGGACGGTGTCTTCTGAAGAGTAGAGTGAGGGTTGCAGTGAGGTTCGATGACGGTGGTGATAGGATAGGGCAGCGACTGGCAGTGATGGTGACGGCGCCTGCTATGGCCGAAAATGCCATTTATTGGAAAAAAATATTTTACGCATATTAAAATTAACAAATACGTCCAAGAAATATATAACATGCGAATAATCTATACTATATTATAAAGCATTTGACTAAAACTCTTAAAAACTCTTAAACTCTTAAAACTCTTAAACTCTTAAAACTCTTAAACCCGTTCATCCCTAAACAATTTCATCCCTATCTGATTTCATCTCATAACTGAATTCGTGTAACTAACTGCAGATAAACACAATCAAATACAGGATAAACATCTCATTTTATATATTAAAAAACCAAAAATATAATTAGGATAATCATTAAGTTCTAACAAAATACTTAATTATTATATTTATAAAATGTTATATTATTAAACCAAAAATAAATTATTTCATTATTAAACTTAAATTAAATTAAAAAAAATAATCTATATCTATACTATATTATAATGCATTTGGCTAAAACTCTTAAAAACTACTTTTTAYACGTAAAGTACTGTTTATTAATGCATATTACTTAAAACTCAAGATTACAAGTAGATTGTTGCGTAAGTACAACTTATTAAAGCTTCATATCTGAATTCGTGTAACTAATTGCAAATAAACATAATCAAATACAAGATAAACATCTTATTTTAAATATAAAAAATCTAAAATATAA